GCTGCAGAGACTAGTTCCCATTTAGAGATGAGACTGAAGCCTGCTTTAACTAGCACGTCACAAGTGGGTCACATGAACCTAGGTACTGAACAGATGTTAAAATAGACATTTCCAAAAGCAGTGTTCTTTCACGGTTTACTTTATCCTCAACTCTACACCCTGGCTTCCACCCACACCACAGGTTACTGTTCGTTTAGGGAAGTTAATCCTCCGCAACTGATTCTGCCAAGGTGCATCGTCTTGAGCATGGACCGGTTTCAGTTTTTATACAAACCAGAACGCCTGTCTTAAATGATATGGTCCCGGCTTCCAGTTGGAGGGTCAGAGCAGCCGAACACGGTCTGTGTGTTCCAAGTTGTGTTCTATTGCTTGGATACAGGTTGTTTTGCCAACAGCTGTAATTTCTTGGGAGTCTGCTGTGGAACAAGCCTGAAGGAAGTATATTTATTCATGGATTTTCTTACCCTATAGGAAGGGAATAAAGTCTAAAAAGCAATTTTAATAATACTAAAAAATTTTACTAAGCAAAAATCATGAACCTTAGAATGTTACGCAGAATTTACTGTAGAAAGGTGTTCTCATTACTACCAGCCCCGAAAGCTTGTTGGGAGGAGCCAATGAAATGGTGTTGAATGTGTCTGATGGTGAATATTCAGTGAAGAGCTATTTACAAAGAAGAAAAAATGCATTTGGTGCCCCCTTGCTTTGTGCCTTCAGCTGTCAGAATTCCCTGTCCAGGCTAGCAGCTCCTAAGAAAATTTCAGATAGGAGTTGATGAGATTACAGCAGTTTCCATTGTGAATAGGTGAACCTCCTGAGGCATTTTCAAAATCTGTAGAGTGACTATCGGGAACTGTCAGAATTTGTAGTATTCCTGATGACTTTAACTCCTCTCGCTTTCCAGTATAATGCCACGGGATAAAATGTATTTGAAAAGTGCCTATCCGCTAGCAGCTACTAGGGGCCTGCCCGGCAGTAGAGAGAAAAATCTGACCCAGATACGGATCCTCCTCGGAAAGTCTCACAGTCTAGTCATGGAAGTGCAAATGCGATGAAAGGTGGAGGGGAAAGTGTCATGACAAAGACAGTTGCTACTGATTATGGCATTTGAGCTTGTCCAACTCTTCAAAGAGGTTGGGTTGGATTTGTACTCCAGATACAGGCTCTAGCATGAACTAAGGCAGGGACGTGAAAAAGCAAGAACAGTCAATGGAGCACTGAAGAACTGTTTGGACTGGAGGTCAGGATAAAAAGTAATGTCTGATGCCACCGCAGTTATCTGGATGAGAATTGCCATAGTGGCAGAAGGGACAGGTGAGGGACCAAGTCCCGGAGATCTTAGGCCGCCAAGCAGATCTGGGGTGGGAAATGGGGCAGGGAAAAGGAAAGTCAGTCTTTTTTTTTATATAAAGAAAGATTTTATTTATTTGACAGAGAGAGAGGAAACAAGCAGGGGGAGTGGGAGGGAGAAGCAGGCTTCCCGCGGAGCAGGGAGCCCAATGTGGGGCTCGATCCCAGGACCCTGGGATCATGACCTGAGCCGAAGGCAGATGCTTAACAACTGAGCCACCCAGGTGCCCTGAAAGTCAAGTCATTAAAGCCACAATGCACTCATCCGGAGTCGGGACCGTAGTACCTACTTCATAAGAGTTGATCTAAGAATTAGTTACTGTATTTAGGAAATTCAGGAAATGTATTTAGAACTATGCCTAGCACAGTGAGCTCTCATGTTTGATGTTAGCACGAATTCATTCAGGAACTTAAATTGCTAAGTATCTGTGTAATGAACAAAAGCAAACAAGATCCTTGCCCTTACTGAGTTTATGGTCCAATAGTAGAGACAAATGAAATCTACACGGAAGTTATTTTCTTACAGATTCTACCAGGTACTGTGAAGGATGACAACGGGGTGCTCAGAACTAAGGAGGAGGACCTTTGGGAAAATAACAAAATGACATTTCACCTGAGACCCGAAGCTCCTTTCAAACAAGGAAACTCCAGCTAACAGCACAGAAGTTCATGAAGCATTTAACAAAGAGTCCCGGGCTAGAGCCAAGTTGTCAGACCTCAGCTCACTCTTGCTCTCTCCTGCTTGGGTCCGTTCCTGTCGCGTGTGAGAAGGTGGCCAGGAGCTCCAGATGTGCATCTCTGCACACCCAGAATTGTTTCCCAGCAGTTCCCAGAGTCCTAGAATGGGCTCTCGCTGACTTGACGGGTCATACGCCCATCACTGACTACACAGGTTGGGGATTGTGATACTACTTGGTTGAGCCTGGAGCTGGGCTGTCAGTTCTTCCAGGAAATCAGAATATTGCTTTCCTTTAAAGGGTCAGTAGGGTGGGCAGACAAACCAGGCACCTAGGGCAGATGGAAGAGAGGGTGTTAGCTAAGCAGAGTGGGTAGGGAAAAGTAGCAGCGTGTGTGAAGCCCCGCAGCAGGAAAGAAGGAAAGGAAAGTTGGCCTGTGTGGTTGAGCACAAGTTGCAAGAGAACAGGGAGAAGTAACTAAAAGGTCAGATTACATAGGATCTTGGATTTCATTTTGAGAGCAATATGGAGACGTTGCAAGGGTTTTAAGCAAGGAACAGGCTTGCAAGATCCTAACACTTGAAGGTTGATAAGCTGGAAGCATCATCGTTCTAACAAACTAGGATCATAGTAGAAAAGCAGGGTCAGAGAAAGAAAAGTTTTGGACAAATGGAATTTGGGGGGCCATCCAAACAAGTTGGGGATACTAGCAGCCAACCAGAAATGTTTACTACAACATTCTTGATTTCCCATCTTAAAAGACCCTTTGCTGCTCACCCCACCCCCCCTTCTCTTCAGTCCACTGCAGTTCCTAGGTCCCCTTCAAAATTAGTCAGTGCTGTCAATACCATCAGTTTGACAGAATCGATCACTCTCAGTGAAATATTTTTACTGCTTCACTAGCCTCTTCTCAACCTCCTTTGCTAGACTGCTCTGCATCTTTCTGTCTTCCAAAGCTAGGAGAACTCCAGGGTTCAGTCCTGAATTTGCTTTGAATCTGCCCCTCCCTCCTCGAGCTGTTTCATTCGCTCTGTGGATCTCCATGCATGTAGCTATGGAAAACAGTGAACAAAAGTTTGACAGCAGTTTGGGAGTCCTCACATATAAAGTTGACCAGAGCTTTACCTTGAAAATAATTTATTTTACACTATACTTAACAAATATAACCACACAGTAATTCCTAGAACAAAGTTTTGTTTTAGTGACGATTTTCTGACAAGATGAGCACAATGTGACAGGTCTTCACACTGAACTTTCAAGGTACCATCATAAAAGAGGGTAGTCTTTTTTTTTTTTTTAAGATTGTATTTATTCATTTGTTAGAGCACAAGCAGGTGGAACAGCAGGCAGAGGGAGAAGCAGGCTCCCTGCTGAGCAAGGAGCCTGATGCACGGCTCAATCGTAGGACCCTGAGATCCTGACCTGAGCTAAAGGCAGACAGACACTTAACGACTGAGCCACCCAGGCGTCCCAAGAGAGGGTAGTCTTTACTGCATCAAATTTCCCAAACCTAAGCCTTTGAAGCACCCTGTCATGATACTTGGAAACTGTTTGCAAATTTTTAATTGGTCTCCGCAATAGGCTAGGTCCTTATTTTCCCTTTGGCTGTAATCTGGAGTTCGCCAACAATACTTGCATGAACTACTTTCTGCTTATACTTAAATGGGAGGAATCCTGGACTCAATGGACAGGGCAGCCTGAAGTTATCAGAGGGCCCAAGAAGTAAGGGTCTCCTGCCTCCTGGGCTCTCAGGTGACAATCCATAGAAGGGCACCCGGCCCAGGAAGAGTCATCAGAACCTTCCAGATGGAGGCTCAGGGTCTGCTGGGTGGTCAAGCTGGAGAGGGCGCTTGGAGAGGTCAGCAGCCATGTGATGGAAAGAGATTATTTGAGAGGGTAAAACTGACACGAAGTAAAAAGCTGGGAGTAAAAACAAGAAAAACCCACAGCCTGACAGGTGAGTCCCTGTTTCCCACTGAGACCTGCGGTATAGCTACCCAGACCTGCAGATTCCGCCCTTTTCCTCAAGTTATTTAAGCTGCCATTTGTAGACAACAGTCTTAAAAGCACTGCTGAAATAAATGGTGTGAAAGGCTCTGGGACAGCTGTGAGAGGAGACAGGACCCGGGCAGAGCCAGAATCGGGAGAAGCCCAGCTCCAGCCGACAGCAATGCCACTTCGCCATGAGAAGATCAGGGTGGCCTTGCCTGAGTAACATTTAAAAATTTTAAATTATTTGCCCTGCTTCCTAGTATTATTCAGCCATTCTGTCAGATTAGGCAGGGTCAATGTGAAATCAATGAAATAGTAATGATCTCTGAAAACTGTAAGACCGAGGTTAAACTAAATCAAATCTCAATAAAAAGCATATAACAAGGGCACCAGCTGGCTCAGTCAGTAGAGCAGGCCGCTCTTGTTCTCAGGGTGGTGAGTTCAAGCACCACACTGGGCACGGAGCCTACTTAAAAACAACAAACCATGTTATGACACCAGTGTCCATGTTCATCTTTAATATGGGTTGGTTTTTATAAAGGGGGAAGATGTAGGGCAGTGTGAATAACAAAGTAAGTCCAGCTCTGCTTTCATCTTTCTGTTAAGTTTCTACAATGGGTGGATCCACTAGAATTTCTGCAAAAAGATACAGTTTTTTAAAAAGATTTAATCAAGCATAATTAATAGACATCAACAAAACAAATGACAGAATATTATGGCTATATATTTTTACAATCATAAAATAATTGGGTATAGATTCCCAGTGATGTCATCCCACGTGCTTGTGTGGGAGTCTGAATTCCAGGGATAACAAGCTCTATATCAAGCAAGAGAGGCTGTTAACCTAAGCTGGCAAATGTCAATTAAAAATTTTTTACTACCCCCCCCAAAAAATTAAAATTTTTACTACCATATGAATGTTAATTTTTAAATGTTCTCCTTAAATAACACAAATTATTTATTTACAATGGTAACATACCTTCACCAATTTTCTTTGTTGCCAACACCTCGGATGTTCGGTCCTTCGTATCTAGTGAGGAACCCTTTGCTGGGTGGCATGGCTTTCACTGCTACTGGAGTTGCTAGGTTTGAGTTGTATTTTGATAAAATCTGAAACAAAACATTCCTTTTTATCAAGTCATTGGAACACAAATTTGGAAGGTCTTATAAAACATTCAAGAAAAGCCAAGGAAAATTTAAAGATAGAGATTGTTTGAAACTAATTATTTTTCAGCAGCACAGACAGATGTTCAACAGCAAAGAAAAGATGGAGTTATTAGAAATTGAATTTGGAGGCTTGATTTCTAAAGCCTTCTAAAATGTACTCTAAGATTAATAGGAGTAAGCAGCAATGCATCCCTGAGAGCAAATTAAGCCTTTACAAAGTTGTTAGGGAAAATGTATATAGGAAGGAGGCAAGATAACATGCTCAAAAGAAAGATCATCAGCTATTAAAGATGATAAGAGTCTGAAATATCAGCTGTGATTTTTTTCATACATAGGTGATACATTAAATACAAGGTTTCCCCTCTATCATATAGAAATAAAAAGAGAAGCATCAACCACAGCAAAGTGGAAACTCTAGATAACTCCTATAAAGACAGAATATGCTCACTCCACTTCTTATAATGCCCAGGGAAAGAGAAGACAAAGAAAAAAGGGTAACAACTACTTTCTTGATTATCACAGGATGAGTCTGCTCTAATGGCATTTAGGTATTCTTCCAAGTAGTTTCATCCTTCCCACAGCTCTCCACAAGCTGGGTCAGTTGCTAGAACGGTTCTTAACAATTCCACTTGCCTAAGCCATTCTGCCGAGTACTCTAACTTCCATTAAGAGTGGGGGGTATGACTGGTGGTTATTTAGTAGATCTGGCAGTCGGTATATAGATCAGGAGTAGACTAGAGGTAAATGATGATATACTAAAGAATCAGATATGCTAACATTTAAATCAATGTTTCTCAAACTGAGGTCCAAGATGTCTTGGGTTCAAGAAACACTGATCTAAGCTATTCATGATACCCTACCCTGGGCAATGTAGGGTAAATGACATTTCTGATTTTGCCAGCCATACCTCCAATGAAAACAATGGTCAACATGGCAATTGCAGTTGAACAATTATTACAAAATATTCTAAGAATACATTTCAGAACGTGTAGTTAAAGGTAATGCAGCATGGGGGCATAAAAGTATGATGAAGTCATGAGCTTGTACTCAGCTCAGAAGAGCCTCAGCCAGGTACTCTCAGAAGGGCACAGAATTTAGATTTTCTCAGTACATGAACCAGCCCATTAGCCCAATGAGAAATAAGACAGTTTATATACAGTTTCATCAGGTCTTTAATATAAATATCTAATTTTGAAAAGAATGTATCAGAGAAAGAAACAGCCTGGAAAAACAACCTGGAGAATATCTTCTGGAATGGTAGTCACTTCTGGAGGTGTAGGTGTTCTCAACAGATTCTCATAAGAAGAAATTACAGGAGAAGAGGGATCCGCAAAACTCTCAAAACACTTGTCTGAATTTAAAACTAATGATGTACAGTCTTTCATTTCCAAATCATTTGATGAACTATTTGTTTTTGATAATGGGTAATCTGTGGACCCCTATTGAACAAAAAGAAATCATTAAGTTATGATGGCATAAAATACAGTGAACAAAAATTATTAGTCAATTTTAGTTCTGTTGTACAAAAGTGACACAGAAGTAAGCACAAAAATGACCTGTTCTTCTTCAACCGATTACTAAAGAAAATTGAGAAAACAAAGAAATGGCATAGGGAGGACAAAATACCATCCTTTATTACTGATAATGGCTGAGCTACAGCTTAATATGAAAACTAAAAGGGCTTGACTGAACCCGATTTAGATGGATTTCACCCATCCAGTTTCGGGCAGCACTAAGCTGGGCCAGGTGAGAGTAACAGCATGGATGAGCACAAGTGTTACCACACGCCCTCACTCTGGAGACCAAGAAAGCCCATCTGACGTAAGTAAGCTTAGCAGGCAATTCATGCTAAACTCACCAATCCAGTAAATCCCCTCATCTCCCTAGGGTCAGAGTTAATAAAGAGGAAGAGTCACACCAGTACAGGGCCTTCCACACTGGAACACAAGGAGTGGATTAAGTGTAAGAGGCAAGTACTAGCAGGCAATAACCTGAGAGATACTTCAACTGATACTAATTGCATTTTGTTGGTCTAGAGCTACATTGTCCAATACAGCAGCAACAAGCCACATGGGGCTATTTAATTTTAAATTCATCAAATATTTGAAAGTAAAAAATTAGCTCCACAGATGTACTGTCACATTTTATGACAGCCCAGTCTTCTGCACTGGTTGTCTTAAGTGTTCATAGCGACTTCAAAAAAGGGATGAGGTATGCTTATAGTAAATTTGTTCATTGAGAAATATTTGGAAAAAGCCTAAAAATCATCCTTAAATCTATCACCTGGAGATAATCACATTTTGGTGTGTTTCTATCCATTCTTTTATTCTTTTTCCTTGAAATAAAGTATATTGTGTGTGTTGGTATATCCATACACATGCATGTCATTTTCCATCATTAAATATTTCTTGAAAAACATTCTTTTTATGTTCTTATCTGTTCTTTAAAACATATACTTTAGTGTATTTCACTTCTCCGCTACCACTTTGACATTCAGATTTTTCCCATTCTTTGCTCTTATAAATAATGCTGTTCCTTCTTCTATAACTTCCTTGTTATAATTCTTTGTGCCAATGTGCCTTAAAATAAATTCTGAGATATGGTTAAAGGGTATGAAAAAATTTTAAAGCTTTTGCTATACACTGCTAAATTCCCCTCCAGAAATATGTAAAAATACTTTTAAAGCCTGCATTAATCTAAGGGGGTTTTTTAACTGATGTATAGTTGACATACAATAGTCTAAGTTTTTAAAACAGACTGAGGCTAGAAATAGTAGGTATACGAGTCATCAGGAAAAAGATTAGAGCTTTCAATGTTATGGAAACATACCAAAGCTGTACTGTTCTTTGTAGAAGGAATTTTCAAACCAGGAGTGCAGAATGTAGGTGCCAAGGGAGAATCCGTATAGTCGGCACCTAAAAGACACAAGCAATGGCATGAAAATACACATTTGAAAATCAAGTTGAAATAAGCAACTTATTTCAACTTTTAGGTTATAATCATAGTCAATATAATTTGTGCACTTTATTTTTAATAACTTAAGAAATAGCTATCATGTGTGCTTGACGTGTGCTTGACAGGAAGAAACAAAACTGTATTTGCTTATCTAGTTATCATCGGCACTAATAAAAGCTCAGCAAGGCTGCAAGGTATAAGGGCAATATATAAAATAAATATAAATATAAATAAAATATAAATAGTTCTAGCAAAAGAGCAACAAACAATTAAAAACATAATTTGAGAAAGGATATTTTTTGGGGCACCTGGGTGGTTCAGTCAGTTAAGCATCTGCGTTCAATTCAGGTCATGATCCCAGGATTCCTGGGGTCCTGGGATCAAGCCCCGCGTTAGGCTCCCTGCTCAGTGGAGAGCTTGTTTCTCTCTCTCCCTCTGTTCCTCCCCGCTGCTTGTATGCTCGCTCTTACTCTCTCTCAAATAAATAAAATGTTTAAAAAAAAAAAAAGATACATTTTTACAACAGCAACAAAGACAAAAAGACACCTACATGTAAATCTATTAAAATCTGTAAGATCTTTATGGAGAAAATAAAATTTCTGAAGAAGAAACAGGAGGAGGAAAAGGGCAAGGAGGTCACCTACCTTCTAAGACATTAGGATTTATTCTAAAGCCGTAATTGACTATCACATCCCAGAAACAGAATCATGGCTATACAGACATTTAATACCTCTAACACATAGTATCATGAAAGCAATCTTAAAAAAAAAAATCAAAGAGGGGTGCCTGGGTGGCTCAGTCGGTTAAGCTGCTGATCCTTGGTTTTGGCTCAGGTCATGATCTCATGGGTCGTGAGATCAAGCCCCATATCAGGCTCTGCACTCAGTGGGGAGTCCGCTTGAGAGTCTCTCCCTCTGCCCCTCCCCCCTGCTCACACACACTCTCTCTAAAATAAATGAATAAACCTTTAAAAAAAATCAAAGAGAAAAAGTGTTAGGAAAATGAGAAGACTAGCAAAATTTTATGAAGTCTAAAAATCAAGTGCTGGTAAAGATGGAGAAACAGAGGGTGCCTGGGGGGGCTCAGTCATTGGGCGTCTGCCTTCAGCTCAGGTCATGATCCCAGAGTCCTGGGATCGAACCCCGCATCTGGCTCCCTGCTCAGTGGGAAGGCTGCTTCTCCCTCTCCCACTCCCCCTGCTTGTGTTCTCTCTCTCGCTGTGTCTCTGTCAAATAAATAAAATCTTAAAAAAAAAAAAAAGATGGGGCACCTGGGTGGCTCAGTTGGTTAAGCGACTGCCTTCGGCTCAGGTCATGATCCTGGAGTCCCGGGATCGAGTCCCGCATCGGGCTCCCTGCTCAGCGGGGAATCTGCTTCTCCCTCTGACCCTCCCCCTTCTCATGCTCTCTCTCTCTCTCATTCTCTCTCTCAAATAAATAAATAAAATCTTCAAAAAAAATGGAGAAACAGAAATGTAAACACTGCTGGTGAGAATCAGGACAACAACTCTCAAGTGGCAAGTCAGCATTTTCTAGATGTGCAGGAAGATGTGCATCCCCTCTGATCTAGAAACTCCACTCCTAGATGTGAGTAACACATGTGTACAAGGAACAATTTCATCAGAGCACTGCCTGTAATAGTAAAAAACAACTACTCCTTAATAAGCAAGTAAATAAATAAAATATGGCTTATTCATACAATGCTTAACAATTAAAATGGATGAACTGGATTTACATGAATTGAGTGAAAAAAGCAAGTGGCAGAAGAATATAAATTGGATGTTGCAACTTAAATGAAATTTTCAAACAACACAACTCTAGAATCATCATCACTTTAGGGGAGGAAGGGAAGGAGAATAACAGAGTGGGGATTTAGCTTTAGTATAACATGAAGAGAAAGATCTGGAGCAAATTCAGTAAGATGCTAACATCTACTTAATCTGAAATTTCCATGTAGACACCCAAACACCTGGGATTCTAGGACTAGCACAGACAGAAGTTAAGGGCACAGGCTCCAACCTAGGAGGCACTGAAACAGAGCACACTGCATCAAGCCGAGAGCCTGCAAGAGCAGTGAGGTGTGTGAAGCAGAAACTGGAAAACACCTGCCCACTGGCGCCGGCTCCAGGGGAACAGAATGAAGTCAGCTAGGCTAAGGGTTAAGGGTTAAGTGTTCGGAAAAAACTGATAATCAGAATATCAACTCCATGCAGCACAGCATTGTGGGTTCTGAGTTCACCCTATGAGTCCAGTTGCAGGCATCCTGAGTCAAGCAGTTCACCTAAAAACCTGTGTGCAACTGGTAAACCGTGGGGCCTTGGCTGGGGTGAGCATGAAACAGCTCCATAGGACAACCCATGGCTCCCAGAACTTCCACTGAAAACAGCGTCATCTCAAGAGGAGTTCACAGTTAAAAATCGAAAGCCTGTGAGGAAATGCACCTCCAAGAAAAAGAATCAGAGCAATAAACAAAAGTATCCACACCTTAAACGGTTTTCCAGATACGTGTGTTTAAAATGTTCAAAGAGATAAAGGAAGGCACAGAAATCATGAGGCAAGAGAACAGTATTATGGAAGGAAAAAGAACAGTCACATTTGAAAGAAAAATGTAATCACCAGAGTAAAACTTCAATAGATTAAAATAGTAATTTAGACTCAGGGTAAGAGAAAAATAGCCAAGTGGAAAAAAGTTCTAACTGAAGCATGAGGTAGCATAGAGAAAAGGAAGGGAAATATCAAAAGGAATTTAACAAACCAAGGAGACTGAAGGATAACATTCTAAATAAAGGAACTCCAGGAGAAAAAAATTGAGGAATTAGGGAAGAGGTAATTTTGTTAAAGAAATAATCTCAGAGTATTTTCCAAAATTGATGACATGGGTCCTTAGTTTGAAAATCATACCAAATTCTAAACATAATAAATAAAAACAAATAAACATATTTTAAAATTACAGAGAAATGTAAAATATCAAAGACAATGACAAAAATCTTGGGGGGGCGGGGAGATGGGTTAGTCCAGTGATGGGTATTAAGGAGAGCGCATACGCATGCAGCACTGGGTGTTATATGAAACAATGAATCGTAGATCACCACATCAAAAACTAATGATGTATTGTACGGTGACTAACATAACATAATAAAATAAAATTAAAACAAACAAACAAACAAAAAACCCTTACTGACTACCGGGAAGAAAAGACCAAAAATCTACAAACTAAATCAAATTAGACCCACAGCACTCTGCTTATCAGCAATGGACACCGGATGACAATGAAATAATTTCTTTATAAAATACTGAAGAAAGTCAACTGTCAATCTATTGTCTATATCCAGTTAAATTATTGTTCAAAAATGAATGAGAAGGAAAAAAAGATGTCTTCAGACACAAAATCAGAGATGACTTCTCACAGACTAGAAATAACATCTCTGAAAGAACTGCTGAAGGATGTGCTTTAACAAGAAGAAAACTAAGCCCAGAAAGAATGAGTGGGATATAAGAAGCAACAGTAAATAAAGAAAATGGTAAACAAGTTACTAAATTTTCCCAAGTACGGACTGCAATAATGGTACTTTTGTGGTGCAAGAATAGGGTCAAGCTAAAATACAACAGAAACTCTCTTAACAAGCCTCCACTTAACCAAAGCACTAGTGGATAAGCCTGAGCTTGCCACTCCTTTCATAAGATACACTGCCTGTGGTACACTGAAGGCTTTCAGTCAGGAAGCTATTCTTTAAAAAATCCATCCCACTTTAGAAGTTATACAGATATTCTCCTCCTTCATCATTTTCTAAAAAGTTTATGCTCCACTGGGAATTAACTCTGGGTATATACGAGGTGATGGTCCTCTCTCTCCCTCTCTTTGGTACAGACAGGCTCTTTCTTTCCTACAAGCTGAGCTCTAAGTTTACTAGAAGTCATTTGTATTTTTTCACTTCTGCTTATGGGCGCCTGGGTGGCTCAGATGGTTAAGCGTCTGCCTTCGGCTCGGGTCATGATCCCAGGGTCCTGGGATCGAGTCCCGCATCGGGCTCCCTGCT